GCCATCCGGAAGAAAATTGCTGGTTACCGATTTACATCATATGCCATGATTACATACAGTATGTGTGTTCGATTATCCGGTTCCCTCGCCTACCCGGATATTTTTGTGGAAAACGGATGTGTGCGGCTAAGCGAGGTCTGACTGTACATGATTAGACACGTGTGATTGTAGATAGACCGATGTGCGAGAAAAAATTCTCTTCCCCACAGGGTCATTTTTAAAATTCTCAATTTGATTGCATTTTTCAGCTTCTAGTACGTCTTTTATCTGTGGAAAAAATGATCGAAAAATAACCGATAACCGATCGACAAAGATTTAGGTTATTCGGTAGTACAAAAAGTGTAATCGTTTCACCCCAAGTGTCATACATATAGGTTCAGAGGGACTGTGCTAAAAAAACGGTGCAATGATATTGCTCAAGCCGAGAAAAAGGTATAATAACAAGCTAAAAACTCGAAGTGATAGTGCACCAATTATGATTTTTTATTTATGTTTTACTCGGACTGCGAAATACACGCTTGCGGAGGACGCGAAACATAGATTAAAAAAACCGGTGTGACCTTACAAATAAAAATAAATCCAGTAAATTATCGTGTCCGTTCCCGAACGGAACTCACGACGGACGCTAAAACCCAGTAAACCATGCAGCGCCTAACGGTTGGGGTGATTGGATAAGTTTCACAACCACTGCAGGGATGAATTTATCCTGTATCGCATCGCAGTTTGCGATGCAAAGTCAATCTACTGCTACTCAAAAGTCACCGTGACTCGCAGAAAACTGCGATACATACAGACTATCCATGCCTAGCCTGTGCTGTCAAGTAACATGCAGTGTATGTGGTGCAGGCACTCTCAATCTGCATGCACATGCACGATTCAGTCGGTTTTTTTGCAAAAGGGCTTTCAGGCATCACTCTCAAGAAGGACAATGTGGTAAACACCCAACCTTCAAAGAAAAATGCTAATCACAATTGTGTAGCAACACAATTGTGATTTTGTATGGCAGAAACTGCTATGCAAAAATATGACAACAAATTCATCCCTGCACTGGCACAAGTGGCGAGAAACCCCATTAGCCGCATCCATGTACCCCGTGTGCCTGGCCACAAGTTCCCAGTTGACTGTGGGTAGCAGCACGGCTGGAAAAACTGCTCCCAGGCAGGACTTGAACCAGGTACCTCTCGTATCTCGATCGCTTCTCGATCATGGTCTTTGACCAACCCACTGTGTCTGCCTGGTGCACCCTTTTAACCCATTCAGCACTACTGGGCCTTGCCTATGGTACTCTGCACATAAATGCTAAAAATAGGGCCAATAGCAAGTTCTAAAACTCCAAGGTTCTGGCAACTGGGGTCCTCAAATATGTTGGTAATGTTTACCAAGACCATGGCTGTGTTTACATGAGGCGTTCAACCCGGGTCAGATTTCAACCCGCCATGTACACAAAATGAATGGCGCGTTTACATGACGCATTGCGCTTGACCCAGGTTGATTTCAACGCGGGCGAGAAAATCGTACAAACGTACTTCTGTGCGTATCTCGCGCCAGGTTTGAATAGCAATGCACACGCAAATTTCGCGCAAAAGTATTCACGTGACCAAACAGGACTCTAGGGTTTACCGGGTGTTAGCTGCCGTAGTGAGTTCCCTTCGGGAACGGAGGCAATTTCGCGCGAAAGTATTCACTTGACCACACAGGACTCTAGAAGTGGACTTTTGGTGGTATATCAGTACTTCCTCCATATACAAAAACTTCGTGACTTTTTTTGAACGGTGTTTTTGAGCAAGAACCTGCTCAACGAACGGTGCCAAAGGCTGTCATCGGCAACCCTCGTCCATGTCGAGGTTAGTTTGGTTGATCCCGAACAGATTCTTCACGGACGCCATGCGTGTGAGGACGTTGCCGACAGAAACTCAAGAGTCAAATGCAACAAAAACTAACACTTACTCGAAACTGACACAGTGACGAAAGTGTAGCTCGTGGCCGGAACACGGAGTCGAGTCACGCGGCACTCGCTGCCCTGAAAGTGGCCAGGCTCGTACATGCGGTGCGCGGCCCCATAGATCTACGCAGCGTGAGAACATAGATTTGTTGTGCTCGCACGGCAAGATGAAACATTTCAGTCGTCGTGCAACCAGCGCAGACTCAGGATCAGAATGTCGATGGCCTGGCTTTCTTCGCCTCTCTCCAGTCAGACGTCTCTTTTGTCGCCAAAGGGAATCGCAGGGACCTCCTCGAAGCCATTGTAGAATGCTTGGGAGGTTTATCCTGGCGAGAAAATGCGAAGCGTGTGGATGTGCTTGTACGACTCGTTTCACGGCATAATGGAGGGCGCGGGTTGGAACGACTGAATATAGTCAACACCGATTCGTACACAGCTCTAGAGATGAAGAGGACGTAGCCAAAGTCCAGCATCGGATCATCACTAAAGGTGACAAGAATCTGAACGAAATGCAAGCGGAAGCAGCGACTGTTGGCGATGCAGAGTCAGCGTCGTAAGGTGACAATGACATGAGCGACAAAGACTCTGAAAAACTCAATCTCTCTCGTCTGAGTTGCTTTTTTCTTTGTGTATAGCTTGTAAACAGGTTAGACAATGCCACGAGTGTTATTCCGAGTCAAACGGAACAATTCCAGAGCTGTGCGCAGCTTTCAAAAAAAGTCACGAAGTTTTTGTATACGGAGCAAGTATTAATTTTGACCCAGGTCAACTGTCTTCATGTAAACGCTCACTTATTTTGTCTATCGTACAACCCGGGCTGAACTCGACCCGGGCTGAACTCGACCCGGGCTGAACTCGACCCGGGCTGAACTCGACCCGGGCTGAACTCGACCCGGGCTGAACTCGACCCGGGCTGAACTCGACCCGGGCTGAACTCGACCCGGGCTGAACTCGACCCGGGCTGAACTCGACCCGGGCTGAACTCGACCCGGGCTGAACTCGACCCGGGCTGAACTCGACCCGGGCTGAACTCGACCCGGGCTGAACTCGACCCGGGCTGAACTCGACCCGGGCTGAACTCGACCCGGGCTGAACTCGACCCGGGCTGAACTCGACCCGGGCTGAACTCGACCCGGGCTGAACTCGACCCGGGCTGAACTCGACCCGGGCTGAACTCGACCCGGGTTGAAATTTCTCATGTAAACACGGCCTAAAGTGCTTTTACAGTTCACACACCAGACAGTGCCAGAAATCACTATAATCTATCCTATGACGTCTATAGACGTCATTCGGAACCTGCACACACACACACACACACACACACACACACACACCTCCAGATTTGCTTCAACCTTGGGAAGACTTGGGCTTTAGCTTATCGTTTTCCTTGTTCCAGGAGCTTTCCAGGAAGCCAACGAACATGAAATTGGGAGAATGGACGCCACAGCTATGGACTTACAAGGGTGGTGTGCTTTTCAGTACAAATGACCCGCTTAAAGGGGAAGTTAAGCCTGAAATCTAATTTTCACCAGTTGTAGTCTTCGGGGTGCTGAGTCGAATGATCTTGGTCCGAGGAAGCTGAGAAGCTCCCTTCCCCCTTTATTCCCAATCGAACCCGCACACTTCCACCGAAACTGGGTGACTACGCCCTACTAGATGGGGATTTGTATGCAAAATGTCACTAAAAGCACCACTTCGTTCTTATAAAATAAAAGCACGGTTGACCGCGACTGGCCCATATGTTGTAGTCTTTTGGACGCTGAGTCGACTGGTTTTGGTCCGAAAATGCTGCGATGAAGCGTTCCTCCTTTATTCCCAATCGAACATGGTTGAACAAGCGGTCACATGCTCCTGCGTGCCCAAGTCACCTGGTCACCGCGCCAGCAAGTGACAACTTTCACACCAAGGTTCGACTCGAGTGACAGGAGTGCACCCAAAAAAGGTCAAACAGGCTGTAAGTTGTACCCTGCAGGCGCTAGGCTAGGTACGGTGACCAGATGACTGGTGTACGCAGGAGCACGTGACCGCTTGTTCAACCATGTTCGATTGGGAATAAAGGAGAAACGCTGCATCGCAGCCTTTTCTTACCAAAACCAGTCGACTCAGCATCCAGAAGACTACAACATTTGGGCCAATCGCGGTCATCCGTGCTTTTATAAGAACAAAATGGCGCTTTTAGTGACATTTTGCATGCAAATCCCCATCTAGTAGGGCGCAGTCACCTAGTTTCGGTGGAAGCGCGCGAGTTCGATGGGGAATAAAGGAGGAAGGGACCGTCTCAACTTCCTTGGACCAAGACCATTCGACTCGGCACCCGAAGACTACAACTGGTGAAAATTTGATTTCAGGCTTAACTTCCCCTTTAAGCGGGATTCACACGACAGGCACTTGCACGTTTTACAGCGAGTGATTCACGAGAAAAGTGACTGTGTGGATTCACACGGCTGCAATCAACAACAGGCACGTTTGCATCTTTGAATGATTCACCCAACAGTTGCCATGAGTATTTCAAATTTTCAAAACACGCATACAATAATCATCAATTCGGATGGTGAGCCAATCATTTTTTTACCACAATAAATATCATGGTGAAAAGAGCCGCGTAAAAAATCAAGTCGTGTTTCGCGCTTTTTCGTGTAAATGTACTCGTGCACGCCACAATTATCGTGAAAGTGTAAATGCACTCGTGCACGCCACAATTATCGTGAAAGTGGGCCCTCAGCTCGCTTGCACTCTTCAGCCACTTTTCTCGTTCACAGGTAAAATACCATAGTAACGTTCCGGTGCACGTGGATTTGCCTGTCGTGTGAATCGCCTATTACGCTGGTCCTTGGAGTCGTGGCAGCAGTACTAGCACCCTGCAGCAGTCAAAGGGCTAAACTTGAGTTCACTTCTGACTTCGACGCTAACTACAGATGCCCTGAAATGCAGACCCTTCATTTACAACAAATGGTGAACAAACACGTGAACTTTTTGGTCGCTAATTCGTCAAGCTTGATCAGATTTGAAGTTTAGAGTCGCAATGTATTTTAAAGTTCAGAGGATGAGCATAACTCACTTTCAAGTTCAGGTGCCATTCTCATTGTCGACTCTGACGTTAAACCTGTAAGTACAAACGAAAACCAAAATGGAAGATTCTCATCAGTTCGAGAGAATGAAAAGGGAAGAAGGTCTGGATACTGTCTGTACCTTAAGGGTCGCAGGTCGACCACCGTATCCGAAGGGCTTATTTCCGGTTTTGATTCTTTTGAAGTTTTCACCCTACCATGCACTGCTAGCCGCTCCCTGCTACTAACACATCAACAAATCACATAAACTCTCCTCATTGGAGGGTGAAACGTCCATATCCTGGAAAAAGGCAAGAACTGGCGAAAAAAGCGTACAGTGCAAGTCGTTTTAGGAAGTTACCGACAATTCTCGGTTATGAGTCAAATACTGGTTGTAAGTCGACCCCAACTTTTCTCCTTCAACTTTTAGTTGTGAATGGTCGACTTATAACCAGTAATTGAATGGTTTAGTGAGATCTTCGGATGGCTGGCTCGGCGGCCTTGTGTTGCCAAGCATTATTTATTATTATTATTATTATAATCTTTATTCTCACGATGGCGTAGCCAATAAGAGAGAGACAGTACTACGTGTTATCAATCAGATTGGGTGCAATAACCGGGAGAAACGGTGGTTAGCAGCAGCCGTGGTTTGGGTGCTTCGTCTAAGTAAAAACGAAGAACGAAGTATATCCATTGTGAAGGCAGGTAGGCGATAGAGCTTGATTAAAATACTATACCTAGGCTGGGCTGCAGCAGGGGTTGGAGCATGTGCAAATTGATAATACTATGATCGGGGTAACTTCTCTTTTGAATGCATTTATTTCTCGGAAGGAGTAACAGTGCGGTGGCAGGTGGTTGTACTGAGTGCATGCGGAGTACAAGGGTGAACGTTGAAGGCGGGTGGAGTGGGTGGTGGGGAGGGCAAAGACTCGATGACGCCTCAATTCTCGGCTTGGTGGCTCGGTGATGTAGCCTGAGGTCGCAAGCTGGATCTGTGGCGGGGATCGTTTGACAGCGATGGCGTGTGCAAAGAGCAGCTGCTTGAGCTTCCGGCGGGATGAGAGGGTTGGCCAAGTGACGTGGTGGAGTAATGAACTGTGGTGGCAAGGACTGAAGAGGGGGGAGTTGGAGGCAGAGTTTTGCTGACCGCCGTTGGAGACGTTCGAGGGCATCTTGTTGCTAAACATTCATAGCTGACATAGATCTTTTTCCCTAAAAACTTGTTTGCGAGGCAACCACCAAAAATCAGGATTAGTGACATGTCACTTCTTACTACTATTTTTCTACCACCTGGTTCTTCCAGATCCCAGACCACAAAATTGCAGACCATTTTCAAGAGCCCAAATAGTCACACTTTACAATCACCAACCCTATGGACACTGAAAGAAACTCGGATGGTGAGCCAAATAAATTATGGTGAAACGGAGAAAGACAAAATGTTACGAGTTATGACTAACTGTCCACCAACGTAACCAGATCTTGTACAGTCAGCGAGTGCGACAATTTTTTTGTTTTGTTTTTGTTGGTGGACTGAAAGAAACCCTATGTTCAGAGCTTATTTTCCCAATGCCAAACTTTATTGTAATGTGGCAGCCCAGTCCGGGGACATTTTCGCCAACAGGCCAGAATGACTGCACGCCCCCATACAGCTACGGAACGATATAAATGCTCCGTACATATGAGAGCGCAGAGAACTTCGCCTTCCAGCTCTTGACTTCCAATAAGCACATTGCGCATTGCCAAATGAAACGAATGCTGATCCGTCACCTGGGTTCGAGGATTCGTCAGAGTCCCTGCGGAGAGCTCGTTTTCACGAATGGAAGCTTCTTCATTCGTGACACGCTCCGAATCCGTCAGATACACATGTATTGGTCCAGGTACACATGTTTTACCAGGTACACCTTTTTCCCTTGATTCCATGATCCATGCAAGTGTGTGTAAATGCCCGTACGGCCGTATCCGTAGTCGCCATGCACATTTGCATGACGACTTGCGAAACCTGAATCTATTTTCAACGAAACGATTACGGGCCGAATCAAACTTTCGTTTCGCATTCGATTCGTAGCAAATGCGAAAGGTCCCTATAGTTAGGACTTTAGGAACTATTGGTTTTGAGAAAAAGACCCCTTTTGGCTGTCCGTAGGGATAGTCGCAAAATTGATGTTGTCTCTGAAATGAACATCATTCATTTTGGGGAAGGGGGTCCGAGTCAAAAGTGCAAGTCAATCGATACTGTACATATACATGTACATGCACACGATTTTCGTCGTCCAGCATAGCAAGCTGTGTCCAGCATAGCAAGCATAGCAAGCATAGCAAGCTGAGTTCATTTCAGAGGGAGGGGAGGGGTCCCAGTACGAAATGAACCAAGTTCATTTCAACAAAAAAGAAAGCTTTTGGCATTACCCATTACCCAACAGCAGCCAAAGGGTTGACACATACCTTGAGCCGTGCATTCACGTGCCGTCAGCACTACTGTGATTAACAGTATGGTGAAGTACCGGTGGTCCATTTTAGATAACAATGATCTGGAACGGGAAATACAAGAACGAAACATGGCCCCTTTAGAAGGCAATAAAAAATATGCGCTATGGGCTGCGTGCTAGACAAGTTCACATACTGTTTGACAACAGCGAACGATAGCTGGTAGTGCATGGATGCATGCCTACAATACAGTCAACGTTGCGTCTAACGACACTCGGCGGGGCATCAAAAAAGCGTCCTTATTCGCGAAGTGTCGTTATACCCGAAGTCTCAATATACATGTATGTATTACAGTGGGATGGGACTTTGCTCTGGGCATGGAAATTCTGTCGTATTCGGGAATTTTCGTTATATCCGCAGCCGTTATTGGCGAAGTTGACTGTACTCCTGCATCCACATCCACCAGTTTGGGGAGTCGCAGGGGAAAGTGCCGGAAGATAACAGCAGCTGCCACCACCAGGACCCAAAACCTTCAACTGACTAAAATAACTAACACGACATGCATTGACAAAGCACAGTGGGCGTTATTTCGAGTGGACGTACATTTTCAGAATTATAGGTGCTCAATATTTCGTTGTTATGAGGGGAAAAGGCCAGGTTAGGAACAGAAGCAGTTTCCTATTGGATTATGTGTGTTAGCATTTGTTCAGTTTATTGAAATTAAAGGTATGAAGCAGATGCACCGAAAGTACAGAAAAGTCCGCTGCAAACGCCCACCCCATTTGTGCAAGACCTGCTGGCCTCTACGCACTGACCCCCTGCACAGTTACCGCTATCGTACGAAAGTGCATCTCACATTGTAGCCCGAAGAGCGCTTTGGTCCGGTAAGCTATGTCCAATTTCCTGGTTTCAAAATCTCCTTGTGCACTTGCTGCAATCTAGCTCGAAGTGATGATTATGATGTTGGGGTTTTTTGGCAAATCCAAACGGCAATTTCTTCCGAATAACAACGTAGCTAAGAACATAGCATTGCGGGAACTAAACACACACTTCTGACTGTGTTTCAACTTTCAAACCATCATTTCCAAATCACGTAATGCGCAAAGGCTTTTCTCGAGCACTTCAGAGTTTTCAACAAGTTAGCAGCGACTTTGTAGCGCTAACTTCTGTGACATCCTCCCAGTTCTCCTTGCAACTGCAATACTGCAATAGGTCAAGTCGTTGAGTGACGCTTCGTCAGGACAATCCTATATTCGATGAATCACCGTTGCGTTCATCGTGGCACTGCAGAGACGTCATGATTTGAAAACCAGATACTGTATAGCAGGAAATTTTCGGATGGAAATATTTTCGGACAAAGCCGAATTTTGACCTTTCGTACGCATTTTATTTTCGTACAGTGGGGCATTATAAATGCACGTGTTTGCATGCGGTACGCAAGTATAGTGTACATAACTTCACAGGAACAAATTTTAGTACGGAATTTATTTTAGTACAAAAGAGAACGTGTACAAAATAGTTCGAAAATAAATTCCGTCCGAAAATTTCCTGATATACAGTAGATTCTTGAATCATTCAACGGCATTACCACATGGACAACGGCATTACCACATGGACAGCGGCATTACCACATGGACAGCGGCATTACCACATGGACAGCGGCATTACCACATGGACAACGGCATTACCACATGGACAACGGCATTACCACATGGACAGCGGCATTACCACATGGACAGCGGCATTACCATATGGACAGCGGCATTACCACATGGACAGCGGCATTACCACATGGACAGCGGCATTACCACATGGACAGCGGCATTACCACATGGACAGCGGCATTACCACATGGACAGCGGCATTACCACATGGACAGCGGCATTACCACATGGACAGCGGCATTACCACATGGACAGCGGCATTACCACATGGACAGCGGCATTACCACATGGACAGCGGCATTACCACATGGACAGCGGCATTACCACATGGACAGCGGCATTACCACATGGACAGCGGCATTACCACATGGACAGCGGCATTACCACATGGACAGCGGCATTACCACATGGACAGCGGCATGACCACATGGACAGCGGCATGACCACATGGACAGCGGCATGACCACATGGACAGCGGCATTACCACATGGACAGCGGCATTACCACATGGACAGCGGCATTACCACATGGACAGCGGCATTACCACATGGACAGCGGCATTACCACATGGACAGCGGCATTACCACATGGACAGCGGCATTACCACATGGACAGCGGCATTACCACATGGACAGCGGCATTACCACATGGACAGCGGCATTACCACATGGACAGCGGCATTACCACATGGACAGCGGCATTACCACATGGACAGCGGCATTACCACATGGACAGCGGCATTACCACATGGACAGCGGCATTACCACATGGACAGCGGCATTACCACATGGACAGCGGCATTACCACATGGACAGCGGCATTACCACATGGACAGCGGCATTACCACATGGACAGCGGCATTACCACATGGACAGCGGCATTACCACATGGACAGCGGCATTACCACATGGACAGCGGCATTACCACATGGACAGCGGCATTACCACATGGACAGCGGCATTACCACATGGACAGCGGCATTACCACATGGACAGCGGCATTACCACATGGACAGCGGCATTACCACATGGACAGCGGCATTACCACATGGACAGCGGCATTACCACATGGACAGCGGCATTACCACATGGACAGCGGCATTACCACATGGACAGCGGCATTACCACATGGACAGCGGCATTACCACATGGACAGCGGCATTACCACATGGACAGCGGCATTACCACATGGACAGCGGCATGACCACATGGACAGCGGCATGACCACATGGACAGCGGCATGACCACATGGACAGCGGCATGACCACATGGACAGCGGCATTACCACATGGACAGCGGCATTACCACATGGACAGCGGCATTACCACATGGACAGCGGCATTACCACATGGACAGCGGCATTACCACATGGACAGCGGCATTACCACATGGACAGCGGCATTACCACATGGACAGCGGCATTACCACATGGACAGCGGCATTACCACATGGACAGCGGCATTACCACATGGACAGCGGCATTACCACATGGACAGCGGCATTACCACATGGACAGCGGCATTACCACATGGACAGCGGCATTACCACATGGACAGCGGCATTACCACATGGACAGCGGCATTACCACATGGACAGCGGCATTACCACATGGACAGCGGCATTACCACATGGACAGCGGCATTACCACATGGACAGCGGCATTACCACATGGACAGCGGCATTACCACATGGACAGCGGCATTACCACATGGACAGCGGCATTACCACATGGACAGCGGCATTACCACATGGACAGCGGCATTACCACATGGACAGCGGCATTACCACATGGACAGCGGCATTACCACATGGACAGCGGCATTACCACATGGACAGCGGCATTACCACATGGACAGCGGCATTACCACATGGACAGCGGCATTACCACATGGACAGCGGCATTACCACATGGACAGCGGCATTACCACATGGACAGCGGCATTACCACATGGACAGCGGCATTACCACATGGACAGCGGCATTACCACATGGACAGCGGCATTACCACATGGACAGCGGCATTACCACATGGACAGCGGCATTACCACATGGACAGCGGCATTACCACATGGACAGCGGCATTACCACATGGACAGCGGCATTACCACATGGACAGCGGCATTACCACATGGACAGCGGCATTACCACATGGACAGCGGCATTACCACATGGACAACGGCATTACCACATGGACAGCGGCATTACCACATGGACAGCGGCATTACCACATGGACAGCGGCATTACCACATGGACAGCGGCATTACCACATGGACAGCGACATTACCACATGGACAACGGCATTACCACATGGACAACGGCATTACCACACGGACAACGGCATTACCACATGGACAACGAACTGATACAAAGACGACTCACTTATCGAATGGAAGAAAATATCGACAGAAGTTTTTTCTTTGAAGCAAAATAATGACAATCGTTTTAGCAGAGCCTCCTGTAGCATGATCGATTGGGCGAATCCAGAGCAAGTGCGCTCTGAGTGAGCGTGATCATTTTGGCCAAATCCGACCGAATCCGGAGTAGGTGCACTTGGAGTGGAATCCGACCACACCGGCCCCCACACCGGGCTGGAGTGGAAATGGACTTTGGTGTTTTTTACAGCTTTCACAGAATCTTTGTGTGATATGCGTACATTTTGCGTACTACGCCCTTGTTTTGTTCAGTTGGGCCAGCGTTGTTTGGACCACACCGCCTGCTCGCACTCAATCCAGATTCACCAATTGATGACACCCCTGATAAGACATAGGCAATTTGTAGGCATTACAGTCGTTCTCGTACGCGTTCAACCTTCATGACGGTTTGGTACAACTGTATTAACCTGAAAAAGATGATAATAGTATGGACCCGCTGGGATGGGCGTTCGCCGCGAAGTGGGCGTTTGCAGCGGACTTTACGGTACCGAAAATAAAAGTACGCCGAAAATTTGTGAAATTACAGTACACGGGGGCTGCGGTATCCCGGGTACAGGGTGTGTGTATGTGTGTACATCTGGTACACATTTGCAGGCGTACACATTTTGTCACTTAGGCTGTGTTTACATGAGAAATTTCAACCCGGGTCGAGTTCAGCCCGGGTTGAAAGTCTGTACGATAGACAAAATAGGTGAGCGCTTACATGAAGACAGTTGACCCGGGTCAAATACTGATATGCCGCCAAAAGTCCACTCCTAGAGTCCTGTATGGTCACGTGAATCCGTTCGCGCGAAATTAAAAATGATTTGCATATGTGCAGTGGTGTTCAAACCTGGCGTGAGATACGCACAGAAGTACGTTTGTACGATTTTCTTGACCCGGGTTGGTTTCAACCCTCCCCTTGGGGGGAGGGTTGAAATCAACCCGGGGCAAAATTTCAACCCGGGTCAAGCGCAATGCATCATGTAAACGTACCATTCACTTTGTGCACATGGCGGGTTGAAATCTGACCCGGGTCGAACTCAACCCGGGTTGAAACGCCTCATGTAAACACAGCCTATGGTGTTTGTTGTAGGAACTCTCCAGTTATGCCATACACATCATATAGTCCGTTTGCCACCCCAAATTCTTCTATATAAGGGGTTCTGTACCCGCTTTGGGCATTTTGCCATCCCAATTGGCTCATATTATGGTGGATTGACGTTATCGCATACTAGTAACCTCTATACACACGGGCGCAGTGGTTATGTGTAGACATTTAGGACGCTGCTGGCCATGACCCCAGTCACTACACTCCATTCCAATAAACACAGCAGTAAATTAAAGCGAACTCGATGCCATATAAGGATGTCCCGTTACGGTTACCTCTGATTCTTTATAGGGTAAAATGAATATTCTAAATCGTAACGAATCGAATATTGTTTCTAAACAAATCCGATATTAAATACTGTAAAACATGTAATTTAAGGTGCATTAAAATTCCGGTGCCAGGGACCTGCCAGGTTTCAGGTGTAATTTAGAATTAGGCGACCAGCGTTCCCTTCACATACAGTGCATACTCTAGTGCCTTTAGGTGTAATTTAAACTTAGGTGCCTGGTCTCTCTAGCGAAATCACCGAAATTAAAGTTGCACCGAAAATTACATGTTTTACAGTATTATAAGAAGGAAAGAGGACCAAAGGAGCAACAAGTCACGCTATCATAATCCATTAACATCACCAGTTACTTTACAATCAGCCCATGCGATAACATTGCAAGACGCTGATCAACGGTACTGACGTTCTACAACTCTACCTAACTCTTTTCTTCTTATAAATTAATGCTTGGCTCTCCGCCCGAGTCTAAATATTGAATGTTCTATACCAAAAAACCCTAAAGAGTTTGGCTAGTCCCCGGTCGTTGTAGACTTAGGACATGTTCGATTGGTAAGGATCGGGATTGGGATCCAGATCTCAGATCCGTCGGATCCTTCAGAGTCAACTGAACACTTTAATTTGGACCTTGTCTGTTGCCATGTGGACGAAGTAATATAATGGCGCTCACAAGTCACCCAAAAGTGTGAAAGTCGTACTCATTGTGTGTGTCGTACAAAAAGTCAACAAGCTCTATCTCCATCCAAGTGTGTGTACCACAATGTGTACACAAATGATGTTTACCCACCATACCGTATATTCTCTATCATAAGCACAGGTCTCCATTACTAGCACAGTCTCTAATACTAGCACACTGTGAGCACCTTTCGAAACATTATAAGCACAGTCTCTATTATTAGCACGGTCTTGGTGGAAATCAATGCGGCATGCATGATATCTAGCATGTATTTCTTCTTGCTCTGTATGGATGCAGTGGTTGAAAAAATATAAGCACGGTCTCCAATATAAGCGCGGTCTCCTATATAAGCACGGGGTAGAGGGGTGTTGAAAAAATATAAGCATGGCGCTTATAATAGAGAATATACGGTATACGCAGCTGCTCTGAGTCAACAAGAGTTTCGGACATCAAGTTGAGCGCCATCCTAGGGCATCTTTCACCTCCACGCGTCCATTCCCGTACAAACTGAATGTGACCTGGGCTTCACATGTTCACCAGCGATTCAAAACTTTCTCGCACGTGATCCCAGAAAATGAACATTGGTCTCACTTAGGGTACCCTGTAAAAAGGCCTTAGGCCTGTGGGGATTGCCCTATTCAAAATTTTACTAATAATAATAACCCTGCAAAGCTCTATACCCTGGTAAAATTTCTGACTGCCTTTTCTTTTGACTTTTTCCAGCCTCAGATGTGGCAAAGAAGAATTGTGCAGATCACACAATGAACAGTGCAGTACGTGCAGTCGGTTTCGGTATGTCTACCCTTATATTATGTGAGCAGGTGTAAGTAAGCTCCCAAGAGTGTGCGACTGTGCGTAAGTATGAGGTCTTCGATGGCAAAAACACACATCACGTGCTCCAAGAACGTTCCGCACCACGTGCAACGAAGGCCAGCCTGCTCGCTGAGTAGGTTTCTCTCAGGAGTGCTATATTTACCACTTCACACAGCTCAGGAGTGCTATATTTACCACTTCACACAGCTCAGGAGTGCTATATTTACCCCTTCACACAGCTCAGGAGTGCTATATTTACCACTTCACACAGCTCAGGAGTGCTATATTTACCACTTCACACAGCTCAGGAGTGCTATATTTACCACTTTACACAGCTCAGGAGTGCTATATTTACCACTTCACACAGCTCAGGAGTGCTATATTTACGACTTCACACAGCTCAGGAGTGCTATATTTACCACTTCACACAGCTCAGGAGTGCTATATTTACGACTTCACACAGCTCAGGAGTGCTATATTTACGACTTCACACAGCTCAGGAGTGCTATATTTACCACTTCACACAGCTCAGGAGTGCTATATTTACCACTTCACACAGCTAGATACAAACGGCCTGGGAAGGTACAACGTGAGCACTACAGGCCCGCCTTCAGGCACTGGGATTTACAGCTCGACTCGACTCGACTCTACTGAGCGAAGAGGACCCATATCTTGATCTGGTGAGCTGCATCATGGGGATTTTTGCAGTCAGATACTGTAAATCAACAAATTTTGGCCGGTGAGAAACTTTGGCCGATCTCCAAATGAAACTTTTGGCCGTGATCAAACTTTGGCCGATTGGGGTTCAATCTTGCATCATTTGACTCTATGACAAACTTTGGCCTGCGATTTACTTTGGCCAGTGGGCACCAAGCAGCGAAATCAGCGAAATTAGTTGATTTACAGTATTCTATTTTCAAGTGTGAATTGTAACAATGAAAGCAAGAGCAAATAAAACGACAATAAGTACGCTAACAATTTAAGTGCAAATCAAATAGGACAAAAGAGAAGAATGCACGAAAGCCAGCCATTGTTGGGGTGTTGCAGCTACTGGCAAAATGCCCAGTGATTCCCACACGGCATGGAGCACTCGAACCCCACGCACCCCAAACTGTACGAAACTACATTTTTACAGATAAGACTTACTTGTGCTGAGCACTTTTCACTTTCTGCGCGCTTCGTGTGGAGGTTGTGCACAGAATCAGTGCAAGGATGTCCCAGAGCTAGGTACACTGCCACCTGCAACCAGCCGGGGAGAAGAACACGCCGAATGGGTGCACGTAAGTACAAGTAAAACAAAGTAAGACGCGTGAACTAACAGCACGCCTTGCCTGTCTGCACTACAGAACTACTAGACAGTCTACAGCGCAAGACTGCCCATGACGAAAACAATGAAGAGTTTCACATGGGTGACAACAAAGAACCTTGTACATCGACTTACCGGCGGACTTGGACTTCGTGACCTTCAGCGTTTCGAAATTTCTGACCGCGCGCCGGCACAGTGTAGTTGAAGAAGTTGGAAGAGGTAAAGTTTTGAGAAAATATCAGCGTTCCCAGTTAGGGAAGAAGTTCGGTTGAAAAGTAGAGGAGTTTTGCAAGGGGATGAAAATTGTTAGGTTTACTGGTAAGGGTAGGTAGGAAGAAGTGAAGATTGGGACACCGGACAGGAGGAACTACAGGCCTGCAGGGCAGTTCTCCAACTTCTGCTACAAAAAGCAGAAAACGATGAGTACGGATGGTGGTAGCTTTTACGGGTACGGTACGGGTCAACTTATCATCGTTTTGTCGCGCCCAAGCAGAAAGTGCAAAGGCGCACATGTTGTATCTCCGCCTTTGATGATGCTTCCACCACAACACAGTTGTGTGGTTTATCAGCCTTGGTGCCCTGTTGTACTGCATACAACTTTACCAGGGAAGCAAGATGTGTATGATATGCCTGTCGAACTATGAGTACGGGTAGGTTGTGGACCGGTGCAGAGTACAGAGAGAGTACATGTCCAGTGTGGAACTGGAAGAGTACACAACGTGGCAAAAGCAAAAAAGCGTTGTGTTGACACACCACGACATTTTGCTATGCCTGTGGCTGTGGTTACAGTGGCCATGTACGTACTTGTACATGTACATGTACATATGTTGGCACTTGACCTTATATTGCACTGCCTTGACCGTCTGTGTACACCTCATATCAAATGTTGCTCTTGCTCATATCCGTATACACCCCTGTCCTTATAGTCCGTCCATATATGGATCATTTAGCACTACAATAATTATTATGGGCACAAGTTGTCATTTTCGCGGTCTGGAGAGCCATACAACTGCGTAGAGTCTACCGTGTGGAGTCCTCTTGAGCTTGCCTTGGGCCGTGACCATTCGTTCGGATCCAAATCCGGATGCATGGGATCCACTCGATTTGGGATGAATCCAGAACAACTTTGTTCGGATCCGAACAACTCAGGCTGCCTCGCCGGGCTGCGGAAAAGGGTTGATCTTGAACGGATTTTTTTCAGGTTTTCCCAAAACAAGACGTTTGTTCGCATAGCAGGGCCAGGGCCAGGGGAGACGACTCTCGACCTCACGCGCATGTGCGCGTTTTTGGGAAGCATGCGTGGCCGGCTATCATTGCTGTACACATACAAGGTACATGCAACACACGTACACACGCACACACATACACGTACGTACGTGGATATGACCACACGTACACATGCGCGTATCTTTTTTTCTTTTTTTACCTTTTCTTTTTTTTCTCTACAAACATCCTTTGCCCATATAACTTATAAGCGCCTGGTCAGACTGCGGCAAATTTTGGTTGCATGCCGCATGCCTGACGAAAAAAGAACAGCGCCCAGAATTAGAATCGCGATCACACTACACATGTGGGGAGAATGAAAATTCAAACTTCATTTCGAGCGTCAAGTGGTAATCTCCACGAACGACGTCAAATTCCTTCACCTTGGGGATCGCCAACACCTTCAGTGCAATCCTTGCAACCATCCTTATGAGTTATTATTATATTATTATTTATTCTTCTTTTACTAGGGAATTCCCAACAGGCGTCAGCGCCTTTTTACAGGGAACCCTAGGTATAATTTGATGGATGAGCGAAATGTTGGAAGCACTGTGGTGCATCACGGGTGTAAATGCAAAATAGCAATGGGCCGAGCACGGAGCCTTGTGGGACGCCTCTTGTGCAAGGGCGGGCCCCACCTAGATGAGTTTTGTTGTTGTCCGTGGCCAATTAGCTCCTCGATATCGAGATGAAAAAATCAGTGATTATCAGCGTCAATGGCGTATCAGCGTCAAATCCTGTTTGGAGCGGAAATTTTTGGAGCGGAAGCGTGGTCCGTTCTTGCTTTTTTTATTTTTGGAGCGTCAACTCTCGCTTTTGCCGCTCTGGCGGCATGTTATATGGAGATTCGGATTATAATCCCAGGATTATTTCGTTTTTACCGCAGTCTGACCAGGCCATTAAAAGAGGCTGTTTCTCTTGACCTTTGTGGAGGGTGAATTCATGCTGGCGGAGCGGGCAACAGGTGAGCCAGCTGGAAGCACCTCTTTCCGCAGCAAGCTCGACAGTCCGCTTCAATGATGGGCTGCAGTTACCCAGAGGATTCTCGTGCTCCGCGCTATTATGGGCACGAGAAGCTGCTATGGCTTCACGCTTCCTCTGCCTTGTCGCAGCACGGATCCCTTCCATGGAGTGATGTTGGTGCAAGATCTGTTGCACAAGAGGGCCCGAGATGCGTGCAGAGGCGGCGAACTGACAGGAGAGATTGTACGGGTTTAGAAGACCCAAACCTCCGTCACGGCAAGGCACGCCAGGATGTCTCGCTCCAGATCCCGGGGGGGGGGGGGGGGGGGGGGGCAGTTAAAGCTGGGATGAGGGAGGTTCGAATCACCAGCTCTAGTGGCGCGAACACCTCGGCTGTGTCAGCAACTGTCCGGGCCAGGAACGACCACTAGTGGCGAAGGCCATGGGTGAACGCCGCATAGCTAGGCTGCCTGCGGCTGGGTGCTAGCGTACCTGGCCAGAGTCTCGACTTCAGCACATCATGTGGTAACTTTGACTTCGACATATTGCTGTCAGTATGCTGTTGTGCCAAGGACTGCCCCGAGCTTGCGGCAGCCATCGCTACGGATCTCGATATCAGTGTCCTGAAAGAAGTCGATGGCAAGGTCCATGTGGCCAGGCGTCACTAGCAGAATGGACTTGGATGCGTTGATGACGTAGCCATATGCCGGTCCATGGTCTTCCACGGTGGCCCACCATGCCCGCAGCTTTGGCAGTTTACTGGCGGCTGTGGATCATCGTCATACCAGCACTGTAGGGAATCGCTGGACGCAGCACGGCGGATGATTGGCAGGGTGCCAAGAGCATTATATCGGCATCGCAAGGGGATCGCCCTGCGTCATGCCTTCATGGGATATGATAACCTGGCCACCCACAAACAGACGAGAGGGCGAGCGGTATGTGTTCAGCACAGCGGAGGCAAACTCTGGGCAGAGGTGCCTGATGTTGCGGATGTACGCTGACCTGTTGAGCCGATTAAAGGCATTGCTCGCATCGGAAAACAGCATGCCTTCCACATCGTCGTCGTTGGTGAATGCCTCCCGCATGGCATGGATGGCTGCTTCCAATCCAGATTCCTGGCCTCCACAAAGCTGCAAGCAGCCAACAGCTTGCTCAATGGCCGGTGTGACGACTTTCAGGATGGCTCTGCCGATGATGCGTCTGACCACCTCACCAATCCCTATTGGACGAACACCCGGTTGCTTGTGGAGAACGATCAAGCGGCTGGCAACATACGCATCCAGGCTTTCAGGATCGACATACGAAGATGCAATGCGGCGTGCACACAAGGCGAGTGCATCACACAGGTTGTCGGATGTTGCGTGCAACACTGTGCACATCCGGCGCCAGTGGGAGGCATCCATGCCGGACGGTCCAGCAGCAACGCTGGTGTGCAATGCTGCTTGGTGAATCACTTCCCTCGTGATTGCCGAGAAGATCACAGGGTATGGTGGTTCCGGGGGCATTCCAGAGATCAGGGCGTCATCGCTGAGTGGCTCGGCTGCAGGTTGCTTGTCCTGAAGGATGTCGAGAACGGTGCGATTATCCACTTTGTCATCTGGGGAGAGTGGTGTAACCCTTCTGGCCCTCCGAAAGCATTTTCATTGCTGTACCAACTTTCCCATTGCCAATCAGTGTTGCAAACGCTCTAGCATCATCCTTTCTCAGACTGCTCTCTCTGTCACGTGATGCTTGCTCCAGCTGCTTCTGGATTGCTCTGCTTTTGCGCGCTAGTTCATCGACATTGCCCTCTGTCCACAAGATGAGACGTCGCTGCAGACATTCCAGATGTGATGCGCATATGCCGGTATGCATGCTATGAGCTGCATGCACGTGCACCGTGCCACCGTCTATCCAAATTGTTGTGTTGAAAAATGTATTTTCTTGCTTTTACAGGTATATCTTGGGCCTTGGGGGCGGGGCCGGGGGCGGTGTACTTCTCCCAGTAGATGTGTTCGCTTTTTCTACCACAAACTCCATCGGACGTTCAACGTCTCCTTCAGCAGGTAGATGCTCGCAAAGCTACGGGAAGTGACGGCATACCGGGTTCGCTATTGCGGCAGTGTTCCGATTTATTGGCATACTCTTTAGCAGTACTGTTTTGCACTTCCCTCCGCACTGGCACGGTTCCTTTGGCGTTCAAGCTGGCGACCGTTGTACCGCTTTACAAGACCGGGGACCCATCAGTTCCCACCAATTGCCGCCCTGTTTCCCTCCTTCCAGTTCTCTCAAAGCTGTTGGAGAGAGTGGTGCAGCGTCAGCTAGTTCGCCATCTAGACTTGAGTAATGCCCTACCTGATTCTCAGTTTGCTTTCAGGAAGAAGTGCTCCACTGAGGATGCCCTCTGTGTTCTCACGGACAGCTTGCAGAAGGCGAAGGACAGTGGTCTGGTAACAGGGCTGTGCCTCCTCGACATGTCCAAGGCTTTTGACAAAGTCCGGCATGGTATCCTCATCCAAGACCCTTTTGACGTTGGTATCTCTGGTGTCGCCCTGAAGTGGTTCGCGAATTACCTGACAGATCGCAGGCAGCAAGTTACAGTCGCTTCGGCCACAAGTCGTGCTCTTGACTGCACCTGTGGTGTGCCCCAAGGCTCCGTCTTGGGGCCTGTTCTCTTTAACGTCTACACCCGTGATGTGAAATCGGTCTCATCGCCAATACCCAGCGTGAAATTTGCAGACGACATTGCCCGGTATGATTCAAAAGCTTCCGCTGGGGAAGTCTCCAAATCCGTCTCTTCAGCTGTCACTGATCTCGCCATATGGCTTAAGTCACGCGGCCTAATTTTAAATGCCTCCAAAAGCCAGGTAATGACTATCTCACCGCAACATGCCGGGCCTGAAGTCTCTATCGTGTGCTGCGATACCTCTCTACCGATAGTGAAGTCTGCGCGGTATCTTGGTGTCTTTCTTGACAACCGCCTGAGTTGGGATGTACACGTCAGCGCCATAGTGACCAAAGTTGCGAGGAAGATAGGCGCCTTGTGGCGAGCCCGTCGATGCCTCTCCCGCAGCTCGCGCAAGATATATGTAAAGGCTATTGTCATGCCGGATATGATATATGGTGCCTGCTGCTTCTCTGCAGCCCTCCGCGTGACCCAACTTCAGCGTCTGCGAGCCATGCAAAACCGGGCGATCCGATGCATTGATGGCAGCCCGCCATGTTCCGCGATGCAGCCCCTCCTGGCTGCCAACTCGATTTACCGCGTCACTGAACTTTTTAAACAAAAGCTCCTGATCTTCATCTGGCGTTGTCTAAATGACTCCACTAGCCTTGCTCTAGCCCAGCTTCTCAAACCAGCAGCATGCAGCGGCAGAAGTACGCGCCATCAGCATGCCAATGGTCTGCTCACCCAGCCAGCTCGCAGTCGGTGTGGCCAAACGAGATTCGCCACCGCAGGAGCATTGCTGTGGAACAGTTTGCCTAGAGAGGTGCGCACCGTATCCAGATTGCAAGATTTTAAGCTAGCCTGCCTTCCTTATGTATGCCTGAAATAGGTTGTGTTTCGTCAGGTTTTGACATGTTCCTTTCTTCTCAGTATTCCCGCTCGCATAGTACTCCACTTCTATGATAATATTGCCTATGCTGTTGCTCATTAGGATTTTGGCAAACTCTATCCTTCGCTTTCATATAACTGGGCCAGGAACCCGTTTGAACTTGCGAAGTAAAATAAAATCAATCAATCAAAACTGTAGATTCTACTTTCCTCTACCGGGTGTATCAGTCAGGTGAGTACTGTAAAACCGGAAAGTCTAACGAGTCACAAAGTCGAACGTTTTAACGAGCATTTTTTCGTAATTTGAAGAAATGTTATCGCGAACCCGGTTTTAGATGTCTGCGTAAAGATGCGCATACAGGTGGGTGGCCAGAAAGGCATCGTTGGCGGAGCGCTTCATGCACCTACTGACCTATATCGGCTTTGTAACTGCAGGGGCAGTCTGGTAAGCAACCTCCTCCTCCTCCATGTCGTCATTCTCGCCGCTACTGCGGCGCTGAGTGATCAGTGATGGTGCAATGAAAAAAGCACTCATCGCGACGCATCACCGTAATTATCAGCTGCATTCCTCCAACGCGCCGTGGACGCAGCAGGACGATGGCTGAATGATTGGCATCTCCTCGTCAACACCCCGAAGACCGTCGTCCTTTCCTTCCACCCCCAGCACATCATCCACATCACGCTCCACACGACTCTTCTGCAGCAGGTCCGCCAACATAGGCACCTTGGCATTACACTCCAAGGCGATATGCGATGCACCCAACACTGTCACACCATACTTTTAAACTACCAAGAATCTGCTACACCACCTCCAGAAGACGGCACAATGAACGCGTTCAGCCTATTAATAATACACAACATACATCCGACCCGTTCTCGAGTATGGCAGCCCTGCCCTCTCCAACACCACACAGCAACAGCGGGACACACTGGAGAGAATTCAGCGCAGTGCTATACGCATCTGCCTTCGGATTCCCCTCTTTGCACCAGTTCACCACAGTTCCCTTCTCCATCATGCAAAGCTTCCCACCCTTAGATCCCTACAAGCATGGGGTAGCCACCACCAAACCTCCCCACCCCATCTGCAACAACCACATCTTGCGCTACACCGTTAACACCAACATGGGTACCCTTCCGACAGACAAGGACCTAGGTCCTTGTCTGTCGGAAGGGTACCATGTCGACCTACTCACTTGTACTATGTTTTTCGATTTTGACAGCATGTTACAAGGCGAAGACGCGTAGTGCTCCTGACTACAACCATAACCCGGTTGGCAGAGTCCTGGTCTTGCGACCATTTGAACCGTATTGTGAAAACCCAGGTTCGGACCCTCGTTAGTAGTCGTTACTCTAGGCTAGGGGTGGGTAGGATTCTTTTTAAACTTTTTGTTGTGTTGTAGATGTCGTCGTCGTGTTGCCGCCGCAGTATTGTTCACGTTGCCGCGTTGCTGCCGCTGTAGGGATCACCCAACCGGGTTATGGTTGTAGTCAGGAGCACTACGCGTCCTCGCCTTTTAACATGCTGTCAAAATCGATACTCCATCGGACTCGCACACACAAACAGGCACCGAGATTCCCCCATCAACAGTGCCCTCAACCATTACAACTCACTCCCTATCGACATCACAACCCAACTTTGTAGAATGATTCTTTCCGAAACAATGCATCCAGTCTTAGCAGTAACTGTTTCAACCTGTTCCTGCTCCACGCACCCTCCTGGTTTCTGATATCTCGAACGTGTATTTAACTATCTCGATCACCCCTGCTATTTACTCCGCTTGTTTTTCATGATGCAGATGTTGTTGCTGTTGTTGTTGTTGTTGTTGTTGTTGTTGTTGTTGTTGTTGTTGTTGTTGTTGTTTCAAATCTTTATTCTCACGATGGCCAGTGGCCAATAAGAGATAATAGTGTAAGAAAGGAGAAAGAGTGAGGAAGAATTGGGTGGGCAGGGCCTAGGGGTTAATGACTACTTAAGTGTACGGGCAGGGGTGGTCGCCACACGAGTGTTGTTGTTGTTGTTGTTGTTGTTGTTGTTGTTGTTGTTGTCTTCTTTTATTTCAATTCGCTTAAAGCACACAGGCAGTAGTGCCTTCATGTGCTGGAATGCTGCGACAACCAGACCAAGAGCAGACAGGCAGAGCGCAGAAGGAATAGTGCACAACTTTGCAATGAATTAGTATATGTATGGAGAACAGAGAATAGAAGCAAGGGGTACATCAGACCGATGTAGATGGAGACATTGAAGAACTAGCTCACTGAAGTGTGATGATGTTGTTTTAACATGCTACTGATTTCAAGATGTGCAGTTACTGAGAGTAACAGGAGCGCGGCTAAAACTGCAGAACTCGAGAACAGACAGCAGAAGCAGAGGTTGTAAGGCTCCCTGCCCTGCTCTGCCATGCTCGCAAACATACGTAGCCACTTCAAATGTACCAAACATGGACAAAAGAGAAAGAAGAGCAGGTCATGAGAGATCTCCTAGTCTATTTGCTATGCACATACTGACCTAGTTACCTCAAACGTAACAAACATGGAAAAAAGGAGCAGAGGGCATGTGACATCCTAGCCTAGTTGCTATGCACGCACTAATGCCTATTTGCTATGCACGCACTAATGCCTATTTGCTACGCATTCGCTAATTCGTATGCGTACTACAACTAGTAAATAGCTCTGAAAAGGAAACAATGAAATAGAAACATAAGTAATATCGTATTTTTGGAAAAAGCTGAACAGCAGAAGCAATCCACTACACGCCAAGTACATGCCTGTGAAGACAGCGACTCCAGATAGGGCTTGGGGAGACCATGAAGTAGAGGGTATGCCTGCATAGATGCAGGCATACCCTCTACTTGGTAAGGATACAGCCCAGGGGCAATGGGTGTTGGCCTAAACCAGGCCCTCAGGCTGGAAGACAACTGGTGTTCACGTGTGTAACAGTGGCCAGCATACGAATGCGCTGGCTGGCTGAGAGGCTGCAACTGGAAATGTACGAGAGGAGCGCGAGCAGCAGATATGCTCTCTCAGTGCTTGACGCTCCAGGTGAAGTTCTTGCCGGAGAGGCGCTGATAGAGCTGCGATCCCAGCGTGTTCTCCTGAGCCTGGATGATGTGATCTTGCGACCAGGTATCTTTGCGACCCAGGGCAAACGTCGAATTGTCCTCGTCGTCACTAAGTTTCTCGATGACACGTGCCTCGCCTGTGAACGGGCTGGGCTCTCCGGCGGGGCAGGAGATTCTCTTTTCGGCAACGGACACCTGGTTGACGTTGACGTTATAGCTGACCAGACAGTACGGATCGTCAAGATCAATGCCGGCGTCGCTCTGCTCCGGGTGCGCAGCCTGCCGCTCAGTAATCTGCGCGGCCGTCTGCTCGCCGCTGGCCTCCTGGCCAAAGTTGGACGTGGTCTTTCTGACGCTCTTCCTAGCAACGCTCACTGAAGCCGAGCGCTTGAAAGAGCGCTTGCTAGAGAAACTGGCCCTTGTTTGCTTGCTGTAGACAGCACTGCTGTAGGCGTCCTCCTCCGCATTGCTGGCAAAGGAGGTGATGGTCGTTTCTGCCACCGGTGTGGTGCGTCGGAAACTAGCAGAAGACTTACTCCAACTTGCAATGCTGGCGTCTTGGCTGACTGGCACCTCTGCGCTCATGGGCGTAGCTGCAGTCGGCGCATGTCTGAAACTAGCGGAGAACCTACCTCTGCGTGTCATGCCCGTTTCCTGGCTAGCAGGCACCTCTGCGCCCATGGCCTTCACTGGGGTCGATGCGTGTTTGATAAAAGTGGAGTACATATCCCCGTTTGCAATGCCGATGTCTGGGCTGGCTGGTACCTCTGCGCTCATGGTTATCACCGGGGTCGATGCGTGTTTGACACAGGTGGAGTACACATCGCCGTTTGCAATGCCAATAGTTTGGCTGGCTGGCACCTCTGCGCCCATGGCCTTCACTGGGATCGATGCGTGTCTGACACAAGTAGAGTACATATCCCCGTTTGCAATGCCGATGTCTTGGCTGGCTGGTACCTCTGCGCTCATGGTGATCGCTGGGAACGATACGGGTCTGACACAGGTGGAGTACACATCGTCGTTTGCAATGCCGATATTTTGGCGAGCTGGTACGTCTGCGCCCATGGACGCTGTTGGGGTTGATACCTCTCTGATACAAGTGGAGTAAGCGCCGTTTGCAATGCCCGTTTGCTGGCTGGCTGGGTCCTCTGTGCTTAGGCTGTCGCTGCGGAGTGCGAACATGTTCTCTGCGCTAAAGCGAGCGGCGGCCGGGACATCGCCAATGGTGTCATAGAAAGACGGGTTGGTGGGCTTTTCACATTGTGCAACACCAACTCCAGCATACGCCGCGAAAGCATCGTCCGACGTTTGGGCGGCGGTGGCCATCTTCTGCTCGGTAGAGGATGGATGTAGAGAGGTGCGACTGGGCAGGATATCGTAAGGATCACTACTGCAATCCACCGAGACGGGGTCGGAATGACATGGATCTTCTGAGAAGCTGAACAGTCTGTTGGTGCTGTTGTAGGAGCACGGTGCAAACACACGCATGCACATGCGTGCACACACATGCACACACAGCCGCACACACACACACACACACACACACACACACACAGTGACACACACACAGTGGCACACACACACGCACACACATGTTGCGGCAATAACGACAACACACGCATGCACGTAAGTGCACACACATACACACAGTGACACATACACACACACACACACACACACACACACACACACAAGTACAAACACAAATACACACATGCACACACAAAGGTTGCGGCAATAATGACAACACAAGCAGGCGCAGACTAAGTGGATTGATGCCACAGCCGCAAAATGTAATTAAAGAGAGTTGTGTAGACCCGGGAGAGGACACGGCACATAAAGCTCGGATGATGTGTGCCTTGCGACTTTGACGACCTTGAAACAAGCGCGCGGGTGCACAAAAGTCATGTGTGAAAGCATAGCCCCAGCTACGGAACAACTGCAGAGTACAGTACATGTACATGTACATGTACTGGAGCAGTGGTCTTCCGGCTGGTGACTGTTGAGGGTGTCACCTTTGCAACAGTACAGAACGTATGCAGGCCAGTGTGAATAACATAGCCAGGGTGCAGCGGAACAGTCAAACTGTGATTCGTTTCCCGCTCGCCCATCTACGTAGGTGGATACATGCCCAGACACTTCCAAGTGCTAAGCAGGAAAAGTCGATCGTCAAAATACATCCAGACAGGGGCCCAGTAATCAGGCAACGCAAGTTTGGCCTGCAGCTTCCTCCGCCGACGCCTGTCCCTCAGTGCACACTCATACCATATTCACGCTCACAACACACAGTATAAGTGCAATTCTGGCCACAGAAACGTTTCGAACGCGGCCCTATGAACAATAGTAGCGCCTCGCCCAAGTGCGCAACATAGTGTGTGTGGTGCCAGGGCCGATTAGCCCCCCTCCTCCCCCCCCCCCCCCCCCGCTACAGTCAGACCTCGCCCATCCGGTCCTCTTTTATCCGTATCCCTCGCCATCCGGAAGAAAATCGTTGGTTACCAATGTACAGCATATGCTACGCATATATAGTATGTGTGTTCAATTATCCGATTCCGTGGCCTATCCGGATATTTTTGTGGAAAGCGGATGTGTGCGGTTAAGCGCGGCCTGACTGTATACTATTGATGAGATTGGATTTGAGCTATGGGACCGGGCTGAACCTAGAAGGCAGAGCAGGGTAGAGCATTGCTCATGACAAGCAAGGTCCCGGGTTCGAGTCCTGGTGGGTCTGGCGATTTTTTCTCTTTTCAGGCAGTTCATTTCCCCAACTGATCCTTTGAATTTGAAGTTCTCCCAATCCTTTCAGAGATTGGATTTGATTGGATTTAATATTATAGGATTGTTTAAGGTAATGGGGCAAGCAGCAGAAACACTACAGTCCAGTCAACTGTTACTTTGCGTATAACCACACTCGGCGGGGCATCAGAAAAGTGTCCTTATTCGCGAGGTGTCCTTATACCCGAAGTCTCATTATATGTATTACAGTTAGATGGGACTTTGCTCTGGGCATGGAGATGCTGTCGTTATTCGCAAATTGTCGTTATATCCGCAGTCATTACTAGCGAAGTTGACTGTACTAGCAGAGGAGCGATATACCCGTTGGTACTGAATTCCTTCATACCGGTACAGCTGTTTCAAGTACAAACCTCTCTGAAGTCTCTACCTTCAGCGACAAGAATTATATCATGGAAAACAGCTGCTGTATGAAGGAATCCAGTAGCAACGGATGTGTGCCGCTTTGCTGGTGGTGTGCTGTGGCAACGCCGTGTCCAGGTCGGCTGGAGAGTGCAATTATGGTGTGGTGGTTGATGAGAAACCAGCGACTGTATACTGAGAGAGACCTCTATAAGAGGTTATCCGATAACGTCAAATCCGCCGTATATAGGAGCCAGTTGGGGGTGGCAAAATGGCCAAAGCGGGTACAGAAACCCCTTATATAGAAGAATTTGGGGTGGCAAACGTACTATATGACGTGTATGGCATAACCTCAGTCCCTGGTGTGTATAGTGTATAATTATATTATTATAGGCATGAAGCTCACCCGCTTGTTTTCCTGTACTTCTCTGGTATAGTGCTAGTGATGTGTCGACGGCGAGACCCTATGGCAAACAAGATAGTGATGACGGCAACGGCCACAACGCCCAGGACAACGCCGACGATCCAGGAGAGGTCACTCTTCCCGGCCGTTTCTGTCATGCAGGACACAAGAGTGCGCACGTTCACACGCGCACATGCACACGGACACAAAGACATGGCGCTGAGTGCCACATAAGGGCGAGGCATTGTCTTGGCGACTTGCAGTAGAAATCTATCCAAGCAAACGATTACTAGTACATGTATCCGAATATTTTCCACTAATGGAGTGTGCAAGCAGGCATACAAGTGCAGTGGTGGCAAGTAATATCCAACCACTTGATCAGAGGAGAGCGGCGTTCACTGTACCACCCCTATTGTTGGCAGTGCTTGGGTTGTGCAGCCCCGTGGCTGTTGTACCAATCAAGCTCAAAACTGCAATTGTTTCGTCTGTAGGACTCCGAGCCAAATTACACGTGTCTCTAGGTGAAGTTCTCTAGCAGTCGATGACATGGTCTTTTGCACAAAAGCACCATTGAACCAAAACAAGGCTGCCGTGAAAAAAAAAACATCAAGTCCAACCTATCGTTTAATTGTAACCGCTGAATAAGCTAGAAAAGCACAGTGCCAAGAGAACTGTAAAAAAACAAACAACACGTGAAACACATTAGCATTGACACCGTGGTCTGTGACAAACATACCTGCTGCCTCATCGTCAGTGGTAGAGTGGAAGCCAGTAGAACTGTTTGTTGCGGTGGTATCAGTCACTGATGACTTGCCCAGTCGGGTAGTTGAAGGCAGGGTGGCGGTTGGTGTGGTGGGATGTGTGGTAGTTGGTGTGGTGGTTGGAGTTGTTGTCGGTGTGGTGGTTGGAGTTGTTGTTGGTGTGGTGGTCGGTGTGGTGGTTGGTGTGGTGGTTGGTGTGGTTGTTGGTGTGGTTGTTGGTGTGGTAGTTGGTGTGGTGGTTGGTGTGGTGGTTGGTGTGGTGGTTGGTGTGGTGGTTGGTGTGGTGGTTGGTGTGGTGGTTGGTGTGGTAGTCGGTGTGGTTGTTGGGGTAGTGGTTGGTGTGGTGGTTGGTGTGGTGGTTGGTGTGGTGGTTGGTGTGGTAGTCGGTGTGGTGGTTGGTGTGGTGGTTGGTGTGGTGGTTGGTGTGGTGGTCGGTGTGGTGGTTGGTGTGGTGGTTGGTGTGGTGGTCGGTGTGGTGGTTGGTGTGGTAGTTGGTGTGGTTGTTGGGGTAGTGGTTGGAGTAGTTGTCGGTGTGGTGGTTGGGGTGGTGGTTGGTGTGGTGGTTGGTGTGGTGGTAGGTGTGGTGGTTGGTGTGGTGGTTGGTGTGGTAGTTGGTGTGGTGGTTGGTGTGGTGGTTGGTGTGGTGGTTGGTGTGGTGGTCGGTGTGGTGGTTGGTGTGGTGGTTGGTGTGGTGGTTGGTGTGGTAGTTGGTGTGGTGGTTGGTGTGGTGGTTGGTGTGGTGGTTGGTGTGGTGGTTGGTGTGGTGGTTGGTGTGGTGGTTGGTGTGGTAGTTGGTGTGGTGGTTGGTGTGGTGGTTGGTGTGGTGGTTGGGGTGGTGGTTGGTGTGGTGGTCGGTGTGGTGGTTGGTGTGGTGGTTGGTGTGGTGGTTGGTGTGGTGGTCGGTGTGGTGGTCGGTGTGGTGGTTGGTGTGGTGGTCGGTGTGGTGGTTGGTGTGGTGGTCGGTGTGGTGGTCGGTGTGGTGGTTGGTGAGGTAGTTGGTGTGGTGGTTGGTGTGGTGGTTGGTGTGGTGGTCGGTGTGGTGGTTGGTGTGGTGGTTGGTGTGGTGGTTGGTGTGGTGGTTGGTGTGGTGGTTGGTGTGGTGGTCGGTGTGGTAGTTGGTGTGGTGGTCGGTGTGGTGGTTGGTGTGGTGGTTGGTGTGGTGGTTGGTGTGGTTGTCGGTGTGGTAGTCGGTATGGTAGTTGGGATGGTGGTCGGAGCGGTGTATACTAAGAAAGAGAAGGAGCAAATCAGGAGTGGAAGAGAGCAGTTAAAGCCTTGCACCTAGTTACAAAGATACATGTAGCATGGAGTAATGAAGCATGAACAGCGTGTACAACCCTTACATGCCGCCGCAGGGTCACACTCACCATGCCACTGTGCTCCGGTAAGTAAGGTGAAGATGGCACACCCACCACCACTGCAACGTCGCGTATAAATGCCCTGCTTATTCCTGTACAAGCCATTATCAGTGATAGGCTTCTGTTCAAGCTAGTCTTCTATACAAGCTAGTCTTCTATTCAAGCTAGTCTTCTATTCAAGCTAGTCTTCTATTCAAGCTAGTCTGCTATTCAAGCTAGTCTTCTATTCAAGCTAGTCTTCTATTCAAGCTAGTCTTCTGTTCAAGCTAGTCTTCTGTTCAAGCTAGTCTTCTGTTCAAAGCACATCTCTCTATACTGTAAAACCGGAAAGTTTAACAATCAAATTTTTTAACGTTTTTGAAATTTTGGCATGATTACGCGCAAAACGTTTAACGATGGCTACCTGGTCACCCATCTGTGTATGCGCATCTTTACACAGACATCTCGCGATACCGTTTCTTGAAAATAACGAAAATATTGGTGGTTAAAACGTTAGACTTTGTGACTCGTTAGACTTTCCAGTTTTACAGTATATATCAATACTAAAACTAGGCTTATGTGCTGACAGTGTATCAGTCAGGCTTCTATTCGAAACAGGCTTTTATTCGAAACAGGCTTCTATTCGAAACAGGCTTCTATTCGAAACAGGCTTCTATTCGAAACAGGCTTCTATTCGAAACAGGCTTTTATTCGAAACAGGCTTCTATTCGAAACAGGCTTCTATATGAGACCGGCTTTATGCAGGACACTACAGTAGTCAATTCTGAGCGTAGGGGCAGGGGCGGTGATAGAGACATACTGCTTCAATCTGGTCTTGTCCTAGACTGAACTCTGCCACTACGGACAACAGGTAGGAAGACCTGTTTAAGCCTTGCCTATAAAACACATTGCATTGCGGTGGATAGATACGATTCGGCACGGCTTTGGAGTGAAAATCTTGTCAGCGCCTTCTAGGTTCAGCCCGGTCCCATAGCTCAGTGGTTAGAGCATTGCTCATGACAAGCTATTTCCCGGGTTCGAGTCCTGGTGGGTCTGGCGATTTTTTCTCTTTTCAGGCAGTTCACTTCCCCAACTGATCCATTGAATTATTATTATTATTATTATTAGCAGTCTCTGCTGGGATGACGACTACACCATAGCTCAGTGGTTAGAGCATCGCTGGCTACAAGCGAGGGTCCCTGGTTCGAGTCCTGGTGGTGACAGTCAATTTTTTCTTCAGACTTGTCTCTTTCCCTCAAACTAGTGAAGATTATTATTATGGAGTTGGCTTTATTTCACTCACGTTGTCATGACATGAGGTAAGAACCCCATCACCGGTTATTATTATTATTATTATTATTATTATTATTATTATTATTATTATTATTATTATTATTATTATTGTGTGGGTTACAGTGAGGGCTGCGTCCCACCCGCCTGTGTGGATTCACAGGAAGTGTGAGTTACGAAGATGTTGAACGGTCTCTGCTGGGATGACGACTACACCATAGCTCAGTGGTAAGAGCATCGCTGGCTACAAGCGAGGGTCCCTGGTTCGAGTCCTGGTGGTGACAGTCGGTTTTTTCTTCAGACTTTTCCCGTTTGTGTCTTTTCCCTCAAATCAGTTCATATTATTATTATTTGAAACTCGGGTATTGAGCCAATAATAAAAGTAGAAAGGAAAAGGACATATGGAAACGAGTTAAGAGTAACTCTCCACCACAGTAACTAGATACTATATACGTCGAATGTCTCAGTACTCTGTCAGTTTTGTGCCTAGTTGTTGCACTTTCTGACTGTATATAGTATCTAGTTACAGTGGTGGAGAGTTACTCTTAACTCGTTTCCATATGTCCTTTTCCTTTCTACTTTTATTAAAGTAAAGTAAGTAAAGTCGGCGGAATAGCGCGAGCTCCGGTGTGGGGAGCAAACCTTTCTTACTTTTATTATTATTATTATTATTATTATTATTATTATTATCATTATAAAACACACCGGTTGTATGTGCCTTGCCATGTTCTAGTGCAATTTGACTGTCTGGCAGGTGCACAGCGGCGCACAACGACCATTGGCAGGGGCGTCGGAAGGTATTTTAGTGTGCTATGGTCAGCCATCTGAAGGTATTTTAGTGTGGTGTTAGGTACCTCCGCCCGTACAGTATACCTTTTTCCCCTAGCTGGCCTGCATGCACTCGTACTACGTCATTCTCACCTTTCGTTCCGTTGGCCTGGGTAGCTACTTGCGCGCCCATTGCGCGCCCATCTCTCTTCAAATAATCGCTCTCTTCAGTCGAGCTCTCTCTCATAATGTAGTTGTTGCGTTGCGTTGCGTCTACCATAATGAATGTTTCCCGCTCTTGTTCCCGTC